GGCGCAACACCGAGGGTTGCGATCCCGTTGCCGGTCCCGGTCCGGTACGGGCGCGACACTGAGGGTTGCGATCCGTTGCCGGTCACGAAAAAAGACAAAAAGGAAAAAAAAAAAAAAGAAAGAGGAAATATGAAAACATTTTCTTTATCAAATTCAAATTAGACCCATTTTTCTTTTCAATTTAAGTCCCCGTCAATGGGTTTACCTCCATAGTATACTACATTGTTTTCTATTTCTTCAAATTGCAATTCACTTAAAATTGTCCACTTATTCATTAATATGTGCTTTAGGTCAGAATATACTGTGATGAAGTAGTCAGGGTCTGAACACTTGAAGGAATTCTTGACTGGTTTGTATGATAGAATTACGCTCCCTCCCCTCTCACTAAAGTTACTATGCAAAGAGGAAAACCAGCATTTGTTTTTCATAGTGTTTATTTGCTGATGTGTTAAAGAAACTTTGATATAATTTTGGAGAAATTTTTGTATTTCACTGTATGCATATTTAGAAGGTACCATCAAGTAGCTTTTTTTTATGGTTTGAGAGTAAATATTTATGTATATTTGAGGATGTATGTGTGTATATTTGAACATAACATGCATATTTTCCTGCTCATGGCTAATTCCTAGTGCTAATTTATGTCCTGAACAGAAGAGAACAAATATTTGGATAGTATTGCTTCTTGTACACATATTTTCAGATCTATTTAATTAAGTAAGGTTTCAGACCTTTTTGCAAGTACTTGCATAAGGAGGATTTTGGAGCTGCAGTCAGATTCCAGCTTGACAGTAGTCTGGAATCAAGGCAGAATCTTCAACAGTTAAGCTTGGAGTATACAAATATAAACAGTCCCCATTTTAAACAAGCTTTGAGAATAAAAATATAAACAGTCCCCATTTTAAGCAGAATTCTTCATTTTCCAGAAGTTACAAAGCCTTCATCCTTTCATGGTGCACTGTGGAATTTTAATCCCACCTTGTGCTTCTGCATTTTGTTTTTTCTAAATAATTTTATTCAGTGCCTGAAATCACCAATCATAGACCTTAAAAAACTAGCATATTCTTCTAGTTTCATTATATTTGTTAGCTACAAGTACATCTTAGACATATTTAAAGAAAGATGACAATGAAGAAACTGCTATTCTGACAATCTTTTCTTTTCCTTTTCTTTACCCAGGAGCCTTGATTATAGTAGGAAGCTGAAAAATGTAAGTGCTATAACTTCCCTATCCAAACTTGTATTCTTCTGACTTTGATGGTTCAATTGTAAAATTTAGCTAAGTTCAATGCCTCTCGTAGGCCTTGCTGGAAAGACTTCTTCCTAGGAAAAAGCACATGTGTCTCTGATAGAATAATTAATGACTGTAATGGAAATAAAAATAGTAGATTTGGGGGATTTCTCTTTAATTAGATAGACACTTGATCCAGAAATAAACAAATGAAAATTTCTGCTCTGTTTGTGATTTGGTTTCTTAAAAACAAAATCATCAGTCTCAACACTCACATTAGCCCCTTTCCATTTGTAGGCACAGATGGTATTATTAAATTAAGCATTTGAACAAATTGTTTTAGGGAAAGATTAGCATAATATGAATAGATTTGATGGCCATGGCCTGTACTTTTTGTGTTTTGTTCTCTTGTTAATCTTTTGAGTTTTTATTAGTACTTCCCCAAATCAACTTTTTATAATTAGATCTTATTTTCAAAAGGATATTATGTTAAGTGCTCTTTTATTTTAAATTTAAACTTAATGTAAGAAGTGACCTTCTATATCTAGAATAGAAGAATTAGCTGCAACTTTTAAAAAATTTCCCAGGTGCTTTTATATTTGCTTGACATGTTCATTCTTATCTTCTCTATAAAACTAGAGATATATGCCATACAATTTTATATAAATCAGAAAACCCATAATCTAAAACACAACACAGTCTATCTTCCATTCTTCTATTATATCTTTCAAAATAGCCTCAGACTCTTAGTACACATTAGTTATTTTGTGGTCCTAGTTAATGTTCTGACATTTGGAATCATCTGTTCTCTGGAAATTTATTTGCAAGTAATCAGTTAAAAAAAAAAGACCTTCTAGAAGTTTTGAAGGATTCATAAGTAACATTTTCACACAGAGGGAGAAAACGGAATCACACCCTAGCATTGATGCACAAGAACCATATCTTGGGCCTGTTGCCAGCTGGAACCATGTACCTGTATCACGTTGTCCAAAACACTTCCTGGCCTACCATGTGGAAGGAGGTACAATAAGTACTTCCCAGCCTGGTTAAAACAGTAAGACAGGGCTGGCCCGGTGGCGCACTCAGTAGAGTGCGGTGCTTGGGAGCGCAGCGGTGCTCCCACTGAGGGTTCGGATCCCACATAGAGACCGGTCTGCTCACTGGTTGAGCGCGGTGCGGGTGCAACACTGAGGGTTGCGATCCTGGCCCGGTGGCGCACTCAGTAGAGTGCGGTGCTTGGGAGCGCAGCGGTGCTCCCACTGAGGGTTCGGATCCCATATAGAGACCGGTCTGCTCACTGGTTGAGCGCGGTGCGGGTGCAACACTGAGGGTTGCGATCCCGTTACCGGTCATGAAAAAAGACAAAAAGGAAAAAAAAAACCAAAAAAAACAGTAAGACAGAATGTGAAAATAAAATAATAGTCTTAGCTGTTACATAGCCTTCAGATCCTCATCATTCAGTTTTGAGTAGCTCATCTTCAGAAGACTCCTGCTGGGTTTTACAGGAAAGTCAATGTAAAGAGCATTTGCTTTTTTGGACAGTTTCTTTGGAAAGACAGAACAAAATTAATTTAGTACTGTAGCTTCAGACCATTGAATATTCATAGACATTCTTAAACATCCAAAGTTGTTTAATTGGTAGCAACCTTGTCAAGGCTAAAAATTTCCCATCTCAGATTAGTGGGAATCCAACCATACCTCAAAGCTAGGTATCTGCAGATCATATTCTTCATTATATTGCTTTCTTTTGACTTTAATTAGGTATATTCTGTGGAACCTGTGCTGCAAACCACTAATAAACATTGTCTCTCCTTTGGGATTTTTGTCATTGGTTTTAGCAGAACCTTTGAGCCCACAAGTAGAAATTGTGGGCCTTCAAGAGCACCTTTCTTACAAGGAATTGACAGTCTCTTTCATTGCTTGTCTGGGTAAAGACTCCAAAGAGTTTTTGGAAAATGTTGCTGCCTAATTGTGAAAACTTCACTACATGAAAGTAACTTTGTAGGATTTATTTTTCCTTCTTGCTGTCTTAGAGATCACTTTCTCACAATCTAATGTTTCCTAAAACTGGAGTCTTATTTTCACTACTGAATCATGTTTGTGTAGACTGATAGAGCATTGGGTTCTTATTAAAATGATTTTATGTTTTATGGATACCTCATGGATGGTGGCTTTTGTAAATCAGTCTTGCACGTTCTGTGCTTCCTGCTTTCCTGTGACTGGACCATTATTGATTCCTTAGTTTAAACATCATTCTTGGGGGAAAATTCTCCTGTTCTTGTGCACTGTTTTCTTTTACAGGTATTAGTTACCATTTACTGGCTGGGAAAAGCAGCAAACAGCTGTACGTCCTATAGTGGAACTACACTGAACCTGAAGGAGTTTGAAGGATTGTTGGCTCAGATGAGAAAGGTAACTTTGTTTTACTTCTTTATCCCCTGAGTGTTAGACAACGTGGGAAAGCAGCACATTTTCTTATTTGTAAGATTATTACAGTTCCATGGGGTGGGATTGTACAGGCCAAAGATGTCATGCACTCAAAGGAATGAGCACTAGTCTTACCAATGACGTCTTTGCTTCACACCTCACACACGTACCTGAACTTTCTTACCCTTTGGAGAATAGGAGATCTGAGCTTGATCCAACTTAAATTCCAAAGAGCAAACCCAATCTGTCAGTATATGGCTTTATATGCCAAGGAGCTCAGTGTTTGTTTTCTTGGGGGAATAATGCTCAAATGAAACAATACAGTATTATACAAAAATGAAGACTTACTCTGCACTTTTGCCCTAAAGGTCATTTTGCTCACCCGTCAGGACCTTGATGTGGGTGAGGTAATGTCAGCCAAGTTCTTTTCGGGGCATCTACCCTGGACAAGCTCTGATAAATGTGAAGCATTCTCTTCTAGTGTGTGTATTTCATGGCCATTGTATTTGAATGACCTGTAAATTTGGAAAGCATTTTGTACATCATCAAAAGCTTTATTTGTCTATTTGATCACAGGAAAGACTGACCTAAGGTAGGAATTTGTCAAAGAAACAGTGGAATGTTTAATGTGTATCCACCTGAGTATTCCTTTTTAAGGGTCTTCAATGTACGTAACTCATGCAAAGTACTAGTGTATATAGTTTTACTCAGGAGAAGCCCCCCAGCCAGCCTTAGTGAACAGGTGAGGCTCATTTGTAATCAGCCTCCATGTATTTTGGATAAGACCCAAATAAAAGCACAAATAATTAAGGACTTGCTCTTCCTTATTTCACTAACATGCAAAATAAATGAGCTAATGAAACCTCATTAAGAGACATTCAGTGTTTTAGAATTTATCTTTTCATACTGAAAGTAAGAATTTGTTTCAACTTTCTAATAATTTATTCTGCTTTCCTTAAATTAAAACTAATAGTTCTAACAGTTCACATTTGGCAGGAGCCAGTCTGGCTCACGTGTTTATAAAAGGACAAAGTTTCACATTGGTTGTAATGCAATAAACAAAGTCCTTTAAGCTAAAGTCCCTTAAAAATAAAACAAACGCACTCACACACTTAAGCATGACACATTGTTTTTTACCCATAGCTTTTATTCGTCCTTTAATTTTTCATCTAACTCTATTTTTAGAGAAACTACAAAGGTACGTTCCAACCTGGGTTTGGGAAGTGTAAATGTTTATTGTTTTTATATTAAATTTGGACTTAATAATAGATGGGTCATCTTTTTAAAACTCTTTAAAAGCTCTACCTCACAGTTCCCCTCCTAGATTCTGCTGGAAACTGATTTACTCTCATTATTAACATTCTTACCTCCAGTCCAGCTCCTCTGTAATCTGAGCAGTTACTGGTTTCTTCAACCCTACTAGCTTCCCTTTCTACTGAGACAGTAACACAACTTGAAATGACCTGTTGTTAACAGCTGTTATCTTTTTTTAATGAATGTAGGTAACATCCCAGGAAATGATGGAGTAGTTAGTATCTCTGGGCAAAGCATGGCTCTGAACTAATATAGCCAGCTATGGTACTATGATTTCTCTATAGAGTAAATGTCCTGAATTTCACAGGTCTATCCAAGCACCTGGAAATATTAGTTTCATCTATAATATATACTATCTCATTTTATCAGAACTGGATTTCGCTGGGAAATGCAAAAAACTCAAAATAACAGCTAAAATAAGATAGAATTTTATTTCTGACTCACATAAACAAGGTCTGGACACACGATTAAGGGCGGTGGTGGGGGTTTCATGTCTGTTCCATGGCAGAAGGCCCAGCACCTTCTATCTTTTGTGCCAGCATCACCAACCCATGGCTTCTCTCCTGCCGGCCCAATATTGCTGCTCAGCCTTTAGTCATCATGTGCACATTAAGCCAGGAGGAAGGAAGAGGAATGGGGGAAGACGGGCCTATGCTCTCCCTTTAAACACACTTCTGGGAAGTTATACACTACACCCTGCTTACATCTTACTGCCTTGAACTTGGTCACATAGCCATATCCAACTGCAAGGAAAGACTTGGGAATAAATAGTAGACTCTATTTCAGCTAAAAATTGTGCGTGTTTTTTTAGAGAAGTGGAGAACAGGGGACAACTGGAATCTCTTCTGCACGTAAACAGGCTGAAATAAATTTGAAATTAATTTTTTTTCCACAAAGGAAACTAGCCAGAAATTTTTATATTCATTTTTCTAGTGGGAGAAATGTGCATAAAAATTATTAACTATGGTACGACTTTTTAAGTTTTATAATATAGGTAACACACGTACAGCCAGCTATGGTACATAGAGTCTGGTATATAGAAGGTATTCCTAGATTATTGCTATTGCTGTATACAAAAAGAGTCTCTGAAAGCATAGTGACAGTGGTCTTTCACCGAACCTAGATATGTCAGGGAAGGTCTCACAAAGGAGGGACACTTAAGCTGAACAAAGGGGGTTTACTACGAGAATATTGAGATTGAAGGGGAAACCATGAGGACTAGAGATGTCAGGGACTGGAACTAGAAAGTCAACAGTCTAGGTTCTTCTTCTGTACTTATCTCTCCTTGAATTCATTCTCTCCTCCAATAGGCAAACATTCCTGCATAACAGGGACCATGGCCAACATCATGCCCAGGATGACCTGCTTCTAATTCCTTGCCCCACAAGACCAGAGAATTCTTCTCCCTGGTTCCAGGTGTAAAATTCCTAGGAATGTCCTCTGGCTAGCGTGGGACCTATTCCTGAGTCAGTCACTGTGATCAGGGGCAAGGAATGCTGTGATTGTCCTAACCCACTCCTGTTTCAGGGGGTGAGGGGTATTACTAGAAGAAGGGGATAAAAAGGAGGGGCAAATAAATGCAGGACCTCTCCTAAAATAGCAACCGCCATCAACTTCCAGTCCCTCAACCTGCCTTACTTTTTTCGTGATACTTATCGACCAACTTCATGTTCATTTATATGTTTTTCTGTTTATTTTTTATCTTCTGCACTAGAACATAAGGGCCATGAGGACAAGGTATTTGTTGATTTTTGTATAATTTTGTGTCCCCAGGACTGGAACATTACCTGGCACACAGAAGATGCTCAGTGAATATCTGTGAAATGAATAGCTTTCACAACCAGAGGGTGGTGGGTGGAGAGGGGGTGATCGGGCTGGAAAAGAAGGACCTAAAACACTCTAGAGTAGGATTAGCCATCTTATAAATAACAAGAAGCAGAAGATGATCAGTGGTAAAACAGGTAAATGGAGTTTCTCAGATATTGTAAGTCACCCACCAATGCAGGCTGGTTCTCATTATGTCTGACAAACGGGGATAAGAAAAGGACAGGTGAGGGTATTTGTTGATTTTTGTATAATTTTGTGTCCCCAGGACTGGAACATTACCTGGCACACAGAAGATGCTCAGTAAATATCTGTGAAATGAATAGCTTTCACAACCAGAGGGTGGTGGGTGGAGAGGGGTTGATTGGGCTGGAAAAGAAGGACCTAAAACACTCTAAAGTAGGATTAGCCATCTTATAAATAACAAGAAGCAGAAGATGATCAGTGGTAAAACAGGTAAATGGAGTTTCTCAGATATTGTAAGTCGCCCACCAATGCAGGCTGGTTCTCATTATGTCTGACAAACGGGGATAAGAAAAGGACAGGTGAATGAAATATTCCAAAAATTTTATGGAAGCTGGTAGTTCTCACCTCCTTTATTAATGCACACTGTTACGAGAACAACTAAGTAGCAATAGCACAATGGACTGATTTGACTCATCAGACAGAAAACTACTGGGCTCCTGCATGAAAAGCACAGACAACATAATTATACCCTAAGAAGGAGAATTTAGACTGTGCTAGCCTTTGTGTTGCTTTACATCTTCTACAGTCTCCCCAAAGCTTAACTTGATGTGACCAAGAAACTAAGCGTGGTGACTTGACGGAAGCCAATAAAATCGCCTGTCCAGCTGATGTCCACGTCTTTATTTCAAGCTGAAGAACCAGCTTCTAGCTTCATCTTGTGGTTCCTAGGGGACCACCTTGGCCACAGATGGCCACGGGTGGCCTGGTTTTTTCCCTTTTCAAACTGGCCGTGCCATTCAGCTCCCAGCTCTTGCACTTGATACAGCATTTTAGTCTTGGCTTTCTACACAGTTGTGAACATAAGGGCCTTTCTGTTTTTCTTTCCCATAACTAGCTGTGAGACAGCAGCTGAAGCTCCAAGAGGCATGTGGACTCTCACTTTCTTCCTTTTTCTTCTCCTGTGGTTTGGAGGGTGGGGGTGAGGAAGACAACACCTCCCGCTGTGGAATGTGTCAGAGGATCTGGATGCAATGGATGGAAGCAGCTTGCAGAGGCACGTCCTACAAAGGAATTCCTTTGCTTATTTTATTTTATTTTTAACATTATGGTGTATGAGTTACTTTGGGACTTTTTTGAGATGTTGTGCATGATTTTCTGATTGGGAAAGTTGCGGCAGAAAAGGGTTGAAGAGCAGAACTATGACTTGTGGATAATCGATCCCATCACTGGTTGCCATGACCTTTCCATACTGACACAATATGCAGGATATATTGGAGAACACTGGAGACTGATTTTCTTGATATTGTGGGCTCTATGTCTGCTGTGCTAATAATGTCTATAATCCTTTTGTTTTGTGTTTGGACAGGAGACTGATGACATTGAGAGTCCTAAGCGCAATATCCGAGACAGTGGCTACATCGACTGCTGGGATTCCGAGCGCAGCGACTCTCTCTCTCCCCCTCGCCATGGCAGAGATGATTCCTTCGACAGCCTGGATTCCTTTGGCTCCCGCTCCCGGCAGACACCTTCACCAGATGTAGTCCTCAGGGGAAGCAGCGACGGTAGGTTAGAGTCTTAATAAACTGCATGTCGTGGAATTAAACAATAACAGGGACAGTATTGTCACCAGCAGAAGGATGGGCACTGAGAAGATGGACCTCATATCCACCTTGCTGGGACCTGGTAATTCTATAAATTGGTAGGAAAATGTCTTTGGATGTTGTTTCTCATGGTTCTTAGAATTTTGATTGGCTTTGCCAGCAGTTTATTTGAACATTGCCTCATTGAGCATATCTTGTATTGGAAAATGTGTTACATCATTCTTCCCTTGGTCTCAGTGAATCAAGATGCTGTGCAGACCATTGGCTCATAAAGTGTGCCAGAAGTTTATGTACTCTGGGTGTGAGGAAGGGAAATGTTTGAGTGAGTACCACACTGTATCATGAAAATGGATCAACTTCCAGCCAACTGGAAATGCACTGCCCACACTCATGAAAGTCCTGAAGCCTGGGGTTATTCAGCTGTAATTGGCACGGCTTTTGGCAATATGTTTGATGCTTATGATACCTGACCAGTTGGCTAGCCCGATGCAGGTGGCCGTTAATGTATAGTGCACAATCCAGACTCCCTGCTTGTTCTGAGACTGGGCTTGATTTAAATACCATGGATTTTGTATCACCTGTAAGATACGACTGGTTTTTTTTTACAAAAATGTGTGGTCACATAACTGATATAAATTTAAAGCGTAGTTTTCCAAAGCTTGATTTAAATACCATGGATTTTGTATCACCTGTAAGATACGACTGGTTTTTTTTACAAAAATGTGTGGTCACATAACTGATATAAATTTAAAGCGTAGTTTTCCAAAGCTCTTTGCCTTACTTAGCTTGCATCTTTGTACTCTTAGGAAGGGAGGATGGGTGGGTTCTGCATGTGTAAACTTGCAGAAAGATATCAAGGCTGCAGGGGAATTTGTTTTTTATTTCCATTTTTTAATGTATTTCTTGATTGATTATAATATTTCTAGACTAAGCTACTCTCTAAGGTCACAATTACATTTTGTAGGTAAAAGATCTCTTTCAGTGGTAAAATTCTATGTTACTGAAATACTTGGGTACTTAATGTGTCTAGGTCCTGAATTAATTACTTGACACATGGTATCACACTTAATCCTCAGCACAGATCTGGGAGATACACAGCACCCTACTTAGCTCTCCTGTGGAGCTGCGAGACATTCCTTCTTATCCTTGTTTTACAGATGAGCCTTAGAGAGGTTAAGTAATTGCCCCAACACTTTTAAGTGACAAAAATCACTGTCAATTTAGCCTCAAGAAGTGTGAGTCCAAAATTAATGCTCTTAAGCTTAATTTACCCACATTTCTTTCTCTTTGCCTAATACTCATAGATGTCTTATTAAAAAATGACTGAACTAATACTTTTGTTTGTGACTTAAACTTTCCAGCAAATAGATTAGCCTGAGGGCCACATAGTATGTGACTCCTAAAGAATTCCATGATGCATTGTGAGCTGCTTGAAAAACATTTCTAAAATTTTTTGTGACATCTTAAGAACCACCCACAGTATTAGAAGTTAAATACCAAGTCCATGATTTAGTTGAGTTTTAACATAACCAAAAAGTAGATTTACCTTTACGAAACATGTTACTGTACTGTTTCTTCCATATTATTTTGATTGTTTTAAAAAATTATTTAGTTTTCTTCATCCTAGTTTTTTATAACTGGTAATGTAGATCTTTTATTTATTCTGTCACCAGCTTCAAAGGGTTCAGAGTTTATGAGTCACATCTTGAAGGGATTTGAGATGGTGATTACTAATATTGTACTAATATGTACTAAGCCACAATTTAGTTTGCAGCAATTACATTTGATAAGCTAGAATCTTTTTATAAATGTTTTCTACATCTAAAAAATAACATGAAATTAAGCTTCTACAAAATACTCTCCATGAAGGAGCATCTTATACACAGATTTCACCAATCAGCCTGATACCTTAAGGCTTATGTTCTTGTAAACTAATCAGGACCTAATGAGGTTTTTAAAGAAAACAACACATTTTTAAAATCTGCCTTTTAAAAATGTAGTATAATTTTAGCCAAATAGATGCTGGATTTCATAAGAGTTCATGATATGTTTTCTAAAATGACACTAATCAAGAAAATTGCTGGTCCTAATAAACACTTCCAAATTTGGAAGAACTTTTTTTTTTAAGTCTTGAAAATTTATTTCCTAGGGCTCACAATCAATTAGGGAAAGTCTTACCATGAAATCCTTCAACTCTATATTAGGTCAATACTGTATGGAGATCTTTACTTTGTTATTGATGCCCACTGACCTATTCAATCAGGACAGTCAAGAGCCACACTCATGAGAGGTGCCAATTCTGTGGGTTGGACATAGAGCTGCCTGATAGGGATGCTATAGACCTCCAGGGTTGATTCAGCCAACCTGTCTTGTTGCCCAGTTATTCTCTCGCCATCACTAGCATCCCTTCTGAGGCCGCCTAATGGGCTTCATTGAAGAAGCCCATTACAAAACCTTCTACTTAGGTGCTTTTTAAAGTAACATATTTTATAAATATGATCCATTGTGTTAAATGAATATTCTTATCATTTATATGAAAGATGAGGTAAGGGAGAAAAATAAGGAATGAGAGAAATTTAAGTGCTGCCCTAGAGAGGGATTAAAAACCAAAGAGTTTGGCGTGCATATGGCAAAAATATGTGAAATAAAACAAAGACCCCCTAGTTGCTGGAAGAGAGAGAGATGTATGTAGCCCCATGGAAATGAAGGATCAGACTTTGATAAAATAGCATCATCATTGTGTGCTATGTTGCATTTTTCTAACTTTGGTCCTGAACAGAGAAGCCACCCTGGAAGATTTTCATGTTTGCAGTATGAAGTGCAAATCTTTTTAAGTCTTTTGAAGGCCTTAGATAAGAAGAGCTCTAACATTTACCAAGGGTGTGCCATGCCAGCCACTTCTTAGGTGCCTTATGCCATTTCATTTAATCCTTGTGACAGCCTGTAAGAGCTATGTGATATCACTTCTGTGAATCCTATTGGGACACTGAGGTATAGCAGGTTTAAATCTCCCAGAGTCACACAGCTAGTAGGCGGTGGAGCTGAAATTAGACTCTTGTCTCTAAGTCCATAAAGCTATGCTTCTTTCAGATGTGCCACTCTGCCCTGGGGTATTTGCAGGTGAACATTTCTTAAAGTGTTGAAGACATTGTCAGAGAATAATTGGGGAAAAAAAAGTGGTCTGTTTACATGTTGAACAACATATTTTGAGACTTTCAGTATATTATAGATAGTATATTTAGATTATTGTATACACAAATAGAGAACAGAAATCAGAGTCCCAGAGCCATCACTAACCAGCCATGGAGATGGGACTTCTTCAGTTCTTCTGAGCCTCTGTTTCACCATAGGAATAATATCAAATGGGGAAACACATCTAAGAGCTTGGCAAGGTAAGGTAGTATTAGTATTTGTTTATAAAGCAATCCACAGGGGGCTCTAAACCTTTTATTGTGACACTGAGACAGCTGTACTTGTTTAAAGATTTGGGGTGGGATTGGAGCTAAGTTATGAATCAAATACTAACAAGTAGTGAAATGGTCAAAACTTCAGAAGGGAGACTAAAAGCAAGTGGCATGAATAATTCATAAACTGAATATTTCATCCATGACAATGAACAACTTGTTTATGGCCAGTGCTTTTAACTTTTACAGTCTTTTAAAAGCCATTATGTCATCTAATCTCCAGGGCAAATAATTTTATTCCTATTTTACAGAAAAGAACATTTAAGTGTGTTAGAGACAAGCTTAGAAGCTCACAGCTCATTTCTGACAGATCCAGAAGTATTATGACATAAAGAATAGCCAGCATTTATTAAGTGGTTATTCTGTGCCAAGAACTGTACCAACAGTTTCACATGTATCTGTTCCTCCCAACAACACCAAGAAGTAGGTGGGATGATTATCCTCATTTTAACAGACTGGGAAACTGAGGCTTAAGGTGGTAAATGCAAATTCTCATAGCTAGTGAGTGGCAGAGCTCAAAATGAAGTGGATTTGACTCAATGCCCTGTACTCTACCCGTCTCTGCCAGGCTGCCACATCTCTTCACCTTTAGTTTAAGGTTCTTTTTTAAAGTGTAAATAGAAATATTTCTATTTGTTATCAACAGAGTTGATATTATGCTTATAATGTTGTTATTGATTAAGAGTTTTCAACCAGCATTAAAATGGTGGCTACCCATACCATAGTGTTTACTTATGATAGCTTCATTCTCATAAATAATAGTAACAAGGATACAATATAATTACTGGGGCTATTGTCCAACAAAAGGCTGATGTTGGTAACACCGGATTCCTTTGCATTGTCTGAAACGCTCTTTAAACCAAACCAATTCATTTATTCTTCAGACGACTTGAGAATGCCCACTGTGCACAAAGGCCTTGTTCTCAAAATACAAGATAGAAAGTATAAGTGCCAGAAAAGATGAGATGATAGGACCATTGGGTTTACAGGAAGAAAAGACTGTCTCCAGCTATGGGGACTAGGAAGAGCTTCCATGCAGAGGAATACGCATTTATTATAACTTAAACCACTTCCTGGAAGGCAAACCCTCGGTATAATCCAAATCAGTCACTTTTCTGAGCGCCTGTTGTTGTTACACACCTGCACTTCTTGATTATAACTTAAATTCTTTAGGTATTTCAGGGATTGGTTAAAGGTCCCTAAATCGTTTCTAATTCTTATTTGTCAGAATATTTAGCACAGTGTAAGACCCACAACAGGTGCTCAGTATAAACTCCATTGGCTAATTTATGTTTCCCTCTTTTGAGAGTTGCAGAATCTCAGCAGGCATATAGTTCTATTCAAATGTGTTACTAATGGTAATTCCCAGATCCAGTTAGGCTTACCTCTATTTTTTAACTTGGTGCTCAGTTTTGGTTTTTCGTTTCCCTTTTTCTTTTTTCATGATTTAAATTGAGAGCTTTTCCCAGTACTAATCTAGACTTATACTTCAGATTTGTCAAGTGAACAATTTAAGGAAGGAATCCCTGGAACCCACAGATTGAACCACATCCCTAACACTGAGCACTTGCCCTTGGGAACTTTTCTGCTAGCCCGACACACTTTCTCAGCACCCGTCCTCTCTTGCCCAGGGAGAGGAAGTGACTCTGAATCTGACTTGCCGCATCGGAAACTGCCAGATGTGAAGAAAGATGACATGTCTGCACGGCGGACTTCCCACGGTGAGCCGAAATCAGCAGTGCCTTTTAACCAGTACCTCCCGAACAAAAGCAATCAGACGGCCTATGTCCCTGCTCCTCTGAGAAAAAAGAAAGCAGAGCGAGAGGAGTACCGGAAGAGCTGGAGCACCGCAACCTCCCCCCTGGGTGGGGAGAGGCCCTTCAGGTGAGGCCTGAGCTACCCCTGCTCCTACCTGGGCTTATGGTTTAGGAACTACAGCTCCCGGACATGAATGGGGTTAAATAACCATTTCAGAGCTTGGATGTAGATTGCAGATGGCAGTGGGCAGGACAGATCCTGGGAGAGAGCTTGCCATGATAAAATAGGAGCTTCGTGAGGACACCTAGAACAGTGCTTGGCACACAGTAGGTATTCAACAAGTACTCTACTTGTCTGACGAGCAGATTTTTGAAACCAGTTCTGTTGATGGGACATTGAGCACAGATCTGTTATCCATGTCCTCATGTGGAGACTACCTGACTCTCCATCCTGGAAGATTAGGTGTAGAAAGACTCTTACCTTTACACAAAAAGAGGTTTTAAAAAAAAATCTAGATGCAAATTTATCTAGATCCAAGCTCAATTATGTAAGTGATGCATGAAACATGCTTCCCAATCACATGTAGAAACAGTCCTCAGAAATGGAAGATACATTGGATTTCTCATATCTTTAGAGAAACAGTGTTTTCCTAAGTCTCTGATCATATTTTTGTATTTATTTATTCATTAGGTACTTATTGAGCATCTACTACGTGCTAGGTGCTGTCTTTAAGGCATTGAAGACACAATAGTAAATAAGACACAGTTCCTGCCTTCAAGAACCTTATAATAGAAGTGACTTTTCTAATAGTCCACCTTTACTATCTATGATTTTCCATTGAATAATCATTTTATTAAAAGTTTTAATTATTGAACAAAACTAATGAATTTTACCTTTTCAACAGAAAAAATCTTTTTGCCTTTCAGTATCAAGTTTGGAATCGCTCTTAACCAATGTCGAGAGTATGGTGCATTATATTAATTTACAAATGCCTGTGTTTAATTTTCTTCACATTACCAGGATTATATTGTGTGCTATGACTTTCTTTTTTAAGTGAAAAGTAGCATCAGAATGGCCTGGAGATGACATATGGTCTGTTCCCCAGCCCAGTCTGTTAGTTTGTTAAACCATATTGTCCAACTCACTAGCTATCCTGAAACCATAGAGGAAGAGGAAGGTGAAGTGGGTTCTCCTGGGGAAGAAGACCCAGTCGGCCAAGTGGACCCTGGCGGGAAGCCTTCTGATGGTGGGTTAGAATTACCCAACGGCGGTGCTAAGGAGCACCCTTCTTCAGAGGGGGCTGTGGTGGCACCAGCTCCCAAGGCTGAAGAAAAAGATGCTGCTGAAATCCAAAAGCGCAGAAGGCTACAACAAGCTGGAATCAAGGTCATGCCAGCAGCACAGCGCTTTGCCAGGTTAGGTCTGCTGGCTGAGGGCTGGCCTGGCTGGCTTTCTGCATGCCCAGGGTTTAGAATCTGTTTAGTGAGATGGAGTTTTCATTTTGTTTTCTCACTTTCTGCTTTTCTAGTTGCATCTCAGCTCCCTGCTCTGAGCAAACAGAAATAGATCGTAGTCTTTGCCTTATGGCATGTCTCTGCTAAGTACTTGGTTATTTTAAATGAAGGTGAACAGTCAGCTCCTTGTTGCTTGGTTAGACCTTGTCCTAGTCGTGCATTTGTGGACAGTCATTTGTGGGCTTATTTTTCTATTGTTTGTGGCTTGTTAATTTTCACACTACTCCTAAATGGCTCACTATCCCACTTTACATATCACCAGAAAATAATCAGTTTCTTTGAAATGGGGAATATTCTTTAGAAAGAGTGGCTGGCTTACAAAAATCCAGTTACTTTTTTTGTCCCAAGGGAGTAGTAAATAGGATTGAGTTTATTGGACTCCTTATTTTCTAAGGCATGCTGATTCAGAAACAAAGAATGGAGTAATTACTTCTCTTAATTGTTACAAAGGCACTAGTATACACCCCTGATGGCTTCATGTTACATTTGAGATGGAGACCTTCGGCAAGCAAAACCACAGAAAACTTTAATTCCACAGTTTTCTGTAGCGTCTTGAGAAGCCGGTTAATTTTTTTTATATAATAACCACAATGATACTAACAAATAATTGTGCAGTCAGAATCTATTTGACAAAGGGACGTTCAGATCAAATTGACAATTGAAATTCCTTTGCCACTTGCTGTTCTATTTAATTCTAAGAGGTAAGTGATATACCCATTTTCTAGAAGAGGAAACTGAAGATTGGTGATAGTAAGTGACTTGCAGAACTGGTCACCACTGATCTGGTGGCTACATTTGGATGCTCTGACCACAATACCACATCTGTTTCCCACACATTTAAGAGAACATTTTCCATTTCCCTGTACTCCTCCACAAGTGGTTGTTTCTGTGGTCTACGTCTTAATTGAAATGCCCATCATTGGCTTATATGGATTTAATCGAGAGTAGCTTTGTATTGATAAAAAACCGAGGATATACTTCTTCCCTGTCTGTGGTATCCCACAGATAATCATCCCTTCCTAAACATGTGCTTCTAGAAATTTCTAAAAAAAAATCATGCTTGTGTTATAAGCAGCTCTCTGGGTTTCTGAAGTAGTGAAGAGTAACATCATAGAATCTTAAAAACAAATTAAAAAATCCAGATATTCTTTAAATTTTTATTTAGAGACCTGATCTGACATACACTTTTGTATATCCCTTGAGCATCTATTTGTACCAAAGACCAGACGAGATGTAGAGGATACAAAGATAAGTAATACCCTCTTCCCAGGTGCCTTTATTCAGAGTTCTCCTGCTTCTACCTTTAAGCCCAGGAGGTTATAAGGGAAACAGATAAGAGTATGAATTTACGAAAAATTGTAATCTTCATATATTTGACACACATACCTTCATTTTGATCATATCTGTGTTCTTTAAGGTGAAATTTGCCAAAGACACCATCACCTATAGAGTATCCAAAAGGTTAAGGAGAGACAAGCGGGGAGCTACATTAAGCTAATTGGGCACACCCAGGTGACGTAGACAAAAAAAGAGTTTGGGCAAAGGCTGGGAATTCCATGAGTGTACTGTGCCACTTCAGCAACTAGGAGGTATATTTTTAATAAAACACTGAACTCTTTTATAACAACTCCCATTCAGTGTACATAGAATCATGGTTAGTTTAAAAATGTAATTCTGATTAATGTATATTATATATCTGCGGTCATTTTTGCTACTGTCCATGTTTCCTGACATCTGGCTTAATTTTTACCTATTTCATGTAGGTTAGCTCTATTAAGTAGAAGTTTGCAGGTCAGTTAATGTCATCACACCTCAGATCTTCTGACTTAGCATTTAAAATTGAGTTCAGGACAATTATGCATATTCCCAGAGAATGTCCCCAATAACAACCCAACGCAGCTGCTCCAAACACTCAGAATTCATTTGTTAGACAGATTTTTCAGCTGCTAGCTCTCTCATAAAGGTTTTATGCATACCATGCCACCAGCCTGGCATGTCTACGTCTTTGTCACTTACTTTTTACAGGCCACAACAGAGTTGAGAGTCATTCTAAGTTTATCCACATTTGGGATCCTGCTTTTAATGTGGCAAAAAGGAACTTAACTGGAATGAAATGCGTATCATGAAGAAGAAAAGGAGTCTTGGTGTCTGGAAAATAAGAATATAAATCACTGAAATATGCTGACATTTCTCAAATCATTTTAACCTCAGTCTTCTGTCTTTGACATCCAGATAATTCTGGCCATGACATCTTTGAACCCAACAAGAGGCCCAGGATACTTCCTGTGGCCCATTTCTCAGCTGGGAAAGTCTGTGTTTGGAGGCAGGGGTGGGAGTATAGAGGCACGTGTGCGAGGGGAGGGCATGTAGACAGAGAACAAAGCTTTACTTCCGTAGACTGGTTTTTGTTTGTTTCTCGAGTATTCTCAAACACCTCCTTGCATTATCTTTAAGACAATATACAAAAAGGAGCAAAGGTGCGTGTTATTCGATTTTTACAAGAGGTTTGAAGCCTAGAAGTCCCAAGCTTCCTGTCAAACAGTATATTAGGAGGTATCTAAGCATCAAGGGACAGAAAATAGGACTTCTTAATAAATGCATGGAGTTTGATATTTATTAGAGTTTCCATTGAAGTAAAAGTGTATGAACTACTTTTTCTTCTATTTTATTTTATGATTGCATTAACTTAATTACCCCCCAAATACAAGACTCTGCCAAAGGAGCCAAGATTTCTGTTTTTAAGAGGATAAAATAAGAACCAAGATTCACTTCCCCTGAATTAAAATGCCATGGAGATTTGAGTTCTTTTACTTGGTGTTTCCCATTGGAGAAGTAAAGGTTTTTTTTGAACTGAATTATAGGTTTCACGTGATTGTACTTCTTTTCTAATTGTTTTCGTATGTTTCAGCACTCAGTCTTTTTAGCTAGTCTTTGGGTCTTCTCAACTACATAGTAATTAATTACAGAAGGAAAAAATATCTCCGAGGCACAATGGACATTTTAGAAATCTTTAGAGGAAGAGCAGATGTAGCTAAGTGCCAGACACATATTCCTCTACACCCCTCCTTCCCAGATGCTGGTTTCCTGATTGCTGCTAAACAGAACCTCGGATATCTGGGACCAGTCAGACACATTACTTGCACAAACCTTTGTGACTCTGGATGTAGTTGCCCTGTTTGGAGACAGCGTGAACAGGGAAGTCTCTGGTATTGCCCATGACATTCCCAGGAGGACTAACAGGCTCTTCTGGAGAACCCAGTTTCTTTCAATAGAAAAAATTGACTGCCAATCTTAGCTGATTGCTTAGTTGCCAAGTAAAGGGAGGTGAAAGAAAATGCCAGCTTTTCCTTAGTTTAAGTCATTATCTCATTCACTTTGAAATATATAAGCTTTAGATACGTTCAGACTTTTTCTTCCTCCCCACCTGCTTTGGACCCATAATCTCTCCTACCCAGAGAGCCTTACTTGTTTCAGATGAGGCTGCATGCAATTGCCAGGCTGGAGGCAGGGCTTGTGTCTCTCCTTTCACGTTGGACTGAATTCCTTCCAAGTGAAGCAGTGCGCTGTGCCCACAGAGCAGCCCCTTCTTCCCAAAGCAACTCATTTATGAAT